CGCGCGCTGCAATGCTGGTGGCCCGGGTTCGGATCCCGGGTGCGCATCGAGGCACCACTTCTCCGTCCATCCTGAGGCCGAGTCCCACATACAGCAACTAGAAGGATGTGCAGCTATGACATACAACTATCTACTGGGGCTTTGGAGGGAAAAAATAAAATAAATAAAATCTTAAAAAAAAATAAAAATAAAAATAAAATTTATGTTGTCAGAGTCCCAGGAGAGGAAGAAATGGAAAGAGCCAAAAAACATACTGGAACAAATAATGGTTGAAAACTTCCCAAATTTGCAAGAGACATAAACCTACGTATTCAAGAAGCTGAGCAAACCTCAATCAGGATAATGCAAAGAAATCCACACCAAGACGTCACAGAAAAAATTTGAAAATAACCAGAGAGAAAAATGATGCTTTACGTTTTGGGGAAAGCAATTTGAAGGACAGCCGATTTCTCCTCAGAAACCATGGGCCTAGAAGGAAGTGGCAGAACAGTTTTCAAGTGCTCAAAGAAAAGAACTAGCAGCCCAGAATCCTATGTCCTGTGGAAATATACTTCAGGAATGAGTGGGAAATGAAGAGGATCTCTAATAAAGGAAAACTAAGCAAATTTATCGCCAGCAGACCTACCCTAAAAGAATGGCTAATAAGTTCTTTAAACAGAAAGGAAATAATAAGTGAATCAATCTCATAACATTAGGAAGAATGAACAAATACAGTAAGCAAAAATATGGGTAAGTAAAATAGACTTCACTTTTCCTGAGTTTTCTAAATTATGTTTGATGATTGAAGCAAAAATCATAACACTGATCAATGTAGCTCTAAATGTATGTAGAGGAAATATTTAAGACAATTATACCTACAGGATAGAAAAAGGATATAAAGGGAGGTAAGGTTTCTGTATTTCACTCAAACTGGTAAATGGCAATACCAGTAGACTGTGATAAGGTATGCATAAATAATGTAATAACTAGAGCAACAACTAATCACTATACAAATAAAAACCACAAATATAAGCTATACATTCAAAAAAACTATAGATTGCTTATTTTAAAACATTACAAAACTAATCAAGACACTGTGTTGCTGGCATAAGGATAGACATATAGATGAATGGAATAGAATTGAGAGTTCAGAAATAGACCCTTTTATCAGCAGTTGATTTTCACCAAGACAATTCAATGGGGAAAGGATATTCTTTTCAACAAATGATGCTAAGACAACTATATATCCACATGGAAAATAGTGAATTGGTCTCCTTCATCACACCATATACAAAAATTAACTCAAAATGGAGCAAATTCCTAAATGTAAGAGCTAAAATTATACAACTTTTGGAAGAAGACACAGATGTAAATCTTCATGACCTTGAATCAGGCAATGATTTCTTAGCTATAACACCAAAAGCACAGCAACAAAAGAAGAAAAAGGTAAACTGGATATCACCAAAATTAAGAAATTTTGTGCTTCACAGGACAATTCACAGAATAGGAGAAAATTTTTGCAAATAATATATCTGATAAGGGACTTGTATCTAGAATATAAAAAGAACTATTACAACTCAATAATAAAAAGATATGGGCCAGCCCGGTGGCTTAGCAGTTAAGTGCTCGAGGTCCGCTACTGGTGGCCCGGGTTCGGATCCTGGGCGCACACCGACGCACCGCTTCTCTGGCCATGCTGAGGCCGCCTCCCACGTACAGCAACTAGAAGTATGTGCAACTATGACATACAACTATCTACTGGGGCTTTGGAGGGGGGGAAAGGAGGAGGATTGGCAATAAATGTTAGCTCAGAGCCGGTCTTCCTCAGCAAAAAGAGGAGGATTAGCATGGATGTTAGCTCAGGGGTGATCTTCCTCACACACAAAAAATAAAAATAAAAAGACAACCCAATTTAAGAATGGACAAGGCATCTGAATAGACATTTCTGCAAAGAGGATATACAAATGGTCCATAAGCACATGAAAAGATGCTCAATATCATTAGCCATCAAAGAAATATGCACAAATTCTTAACCAAATATTAACAAATAGAATTCAGCAATATATGAAACTAATTATACACCATGTCCAAGTGAGGTTTATTCCAGGGATGCAGGCTAGTTCAGTATTTGAAGATCAGTCAGTGTAATCCACTATGTTAACAGGCTAAAGAAAAATCACATGAACATAGCATTCAGTGCAGAAAAAGCATTTGAAAAAATTAAACATTTATTCTTGATAAAAACTCTCAGAAATATAGGAATATAGAACTTCCTCAACTTGATAAAGAGCATCCACAAAAAATCTACAATTAACATTATACTTAATGGTGAAAGACTGAATGCTTTCCTCCTAAAACTGGGAACAAAGAAAGGATGTCTGCTCTCACTAGTGGTATTAAAGTGTCAGGAGTTGTAGCCAGCTCAATGAGGCAAGAAAAGGAAAAAAGGCATTATATCAGAAAGGAAGAAATGTTCTGTATACTGAGTGTATCGATGTCAATATCCTGGTTGTAATATGGTACTAAAGTTTTGCAAGATGTTACCATTGGGAGGAATTAGGTAAAAGGCACAGGGGTCTCTTTGTATTATTTCTTATAACTGAATGTTAATCTACAGTCATCTCAAAATAAAATGTTTTACTTAAAAAAATGTATGGATTGGCCCCAAATCCCTTTTGTTTTTATATGCCTTGCATTCTTAGCATTGCAGGGAAAGATAAATGCAGTAATACTGTTGGTGAGTATGAACTCTCCTATTCCATGGTCCCTAGAGGCCATATTTTTTTAAAGATTTTATTTATTCATTTTTTCCCCCCAAAGCCCCAGCAGATAGTTGTACGTCACAGGTTCACATCCTTCTAGTTGCTGTACGTGGGACTCGGCCTCGCGCTGGACGGAGAAGTGGTGCCTTGGGGCGCGCCCGGGATCCGAACCCGGGCCGCCAGCATCAGAGCGCGCGCACTTAACCGCTAAGCCACGGAGCCGGCCAAGGCCATATTTTTTTAAAGCTTGACTTTTTGCTTTCAACAAAAATAACTCATTCACCAGGCATGAGGAATTGTTCAATGAGGATGCTGAGTCTCTGAGCATGAGGCAGGTTTTGTTTTACGTAACTGATGTGACAAATCCAATCAGCTGCTGGAGTGCTCCAGGAAAAGTAAGCATGAAATGCAAGAAATGCCCTGAGGCCCCTGCAGCTGACAGCTGCAGGGGGGAAGCAATAATGGTCATAATGGTCAATAATCCTGGCAAGAAATTTCTTCCATAGAATCTGTTGGTCCCTGGTATGTCTTCTGGTGAGAGGTGGGTAAAGGGACAAATAATGATAGACTATGCAGTTCTGCTGGAGGGGATTTGGTAGCAGAGCACCCAGGCTGAGGATAATTTGCTTCCCTTTTAAAAAGGTAATTTTAGGGGGACCTCTGAGAAAAATGGAACTTACAATGACTAAGAGATAGGCATAGGAATGCATGAAGTCTGTTGATTATTTATTTTAAAATTTATACGGTTGACCATGCTTAGACTGTCTCTAGAATCAGCTAACAATTGTTTTGGGGAAGGGAATTGAATGGCTCAGGGACAGGGGAGGGAGGGAAACTTACCTTGATTTTTATATTATGTGCATGTATTATCTATTCACAAGACTGAATAATTTTAAAATTAACTGGTGGCACATTTCCTATAAGGCTGTCTCAGAGAGTATTTTGCTCAGGTTTTTGCTTGAAGTTTTAAGACCAGAAGACTGCCACCTTCACTATTAGGTGTACAGATGTCCCTGGCATATGGGTTACATTTGTGTGTGTGTGTGTGTGTGTGTGTGGAAGATCAGTCCTGAGCTAACATCCATGCCAATCCTCCTCTTTTTTTTTTTTTTTTTTGCTGAGGATGACTGGCCCTGGACTAACATCTGTGCCTATCTTCCTCTACTTTAAAGATTTTATTTATTCAGTTTTTTCCCCCCAAAGCCCCAGTAGATAGCTGTATGTCATAGGTTCACATCCTTCTAGTTGCTGTACGTGGGACTCGGCCTCACGTTGGACGGAGAAGTGGTGCCTCGGGGCGCTCCCGGGATCCGAACCCGGGCCGCCAGCATCAGAGCGCGCGCACTTAACCGCTAAGCCACGGAGCCGGCCCTCTTCCTCTACTTTATATGGGACGCCGCCACAGCATGGCCTGACAAGGGGTGCATCGGTGAGCACCCACGATCTGTACCCCGGCCACCAGCAGCGGAGCGCACGCACTTAACCACAACACCACGAGGCCGGCCCCTGGGTTACATTTTTAAATGTATGGACGAAATAGAGTAGAAATAGCACTAGACTTGAGAGTCAGAACACTTGGGTTCTAGTCCCGAGTCTCACTAAGTAGTTGTGACCTTGGCAAGCTCTTTCAATGATTTCTCTAGACTTGTTTCCTTATTTGTAAAACGAAGAAGTTGATCTGTAGTGTCCTTGGTAATTTTAACAATCACTGTCTCACTTTCTTCTGCCCCCCACATTTGGGAGGGGGTGCACCTCTTAGGTGTTGAGTAAACATTTGCCCATTGGTAAGCCGGGTAGAGATTAAGAGGGGCACAAAGAGGATGACGAGGCGCCGCCCGCTCAGTTCTTGAGCACGAAGCAGCAGACCGCAGTGGTTCTATGGACCTGTGGGGTTCTTGAGACTACTTTTCACCCCCCAGCCTGATTCCTGGCGTCGAGTTAACTGGTGCTCAACAAATAATCAGTTCATGTGTGAGGGAAATGACGAGAAGAGGATCACGAGCTGCGCAGTTATCTAGCGAATTCCTGCAAAAAATTACAAACACGCTGCCTTTCTCGATGCTTCAAGGCGACTGCCGGAGTGTGAACCTCACGCAGCTCCGCGGCGAAGCCTTTCAGATCTCCTCCCCAGAGAGGCAACGGCGGGGCTGAGGGAGAGTGCGCGGAGCTCGCCCGCCCTTCGCCGCGCGCCCCGCCCTTCGCCGCGCGCGCCCCTGCGCTCACCACGCGCGCCCCCGCCGCCGCGAGCCTGGTGGGCGGGCAGCGCGCGATCTCGGAGTCGCTCTGGGCTGGCGGCGGCGGCGCCGCGGCGCGGGTGGGTGGGATAGTGGCGGAGCTCCGGGCGCCGGGGCACGGCTGGAGAGCGCTATGGCGGTGGCTGTGGTGGCGGCTGTGGCGGCGGCATCCGGTCCCCGCGCCGCGGCGAGGTGAGGGACCGCCTCTTCGCGGCTGAGGAGGCCACAGCTGCCTGCCTGCCTTCCACGCGGGCCTCGGCTCCGGCATGGCCGGGATCATTAAGAAGCAGATCCTGAAGCACCTGTCCCGGTGAGAGCGCCAGCGCTGGTCCCCAGCGGGCCCGGGGCCCTTCCTTCCCCCTTCGACCCTCCTCCCTTACGCCGTGCCCGGGCCAGGCCTCCCTCTCTTCTGCCCGAGCCGGGACTCCGTGGCGGCCCCCGCCTCAAGTCGGGCTGGACAGCCTCGTCCCCGCTCCGCTGGCCGGACCGTTGTCACCCTTCTGTTCCTCCCTCGCCCTGGGCCCTCGGGTACGGGGCGCTCCTCCCCACCCCAACAGCCCTCCTACCCTTTCCAGAGCCTCAAGGACCCCCTGGCCGGCTGCCCCCGCCCTTAGTTTCCGCACCGCCGAGCAGGTCACCCCGTCCTCTCCTATATGTCCCCGGGGCCCACTGACGTCCCTCCGAGGCCCCCACGGATCCCACCCTCTCCTGCCCGCCCCGCGTGATTCCTCTCCCCTTGGGGCCGGCTGCCCCTCCCTCGGGGCCCTCTGCCCGCCTCTCACCCGCCGCGCCAGCCCTGCACTGCCCTCCTCTCCTTCCCATGCTGCTCCGGACGAGACTACCCTCCAGCCCTTTCTAAATAACCCTGTCACCCGATCCTTCGTAACCCATTTTCCGCTCAGATTTCCAGCTCCCATACTGGTTTTCTCCTTTCCAGAAGCTCCCAGCTCCTCCTCTTCATCGTCTGTCTGACCCTGTTGCATCACCCTTGAAAAAGATACAATCCCTGCACCCAGGACGCTCCTCTGATCTCTTTTCTGCCTCCTTTGCTTCTCTTCTCCTTACACAGCCTAAATGGAGAAAGGTCATGAGAGTTGGGCATAAAGTTTCAACAACCCTCCTTTTAAGATGTGGAGGGTTTTTCACAGCCTGTGAAAAGAACTAACAACGGCCACTTCTGCTTTGCAGGCGCTTATGAAGCAATGGTATGTCGCTCGGTAATTTGGGCAGGAGGGGAGTGGCTGGCACAACAGTTTTCAAGTGTAACAAGGTGACTGCTGACGACCCTGTTACGATAGCAGGTTGTAAGAACTGGTGTTCACAAAAACTGGAAGCTAGCCTTTCATTTAGTTTTCACTCCTTATTCCAGGCGGGGGCTGGTGATGCCTACATACCTTTAGCCAGCCTTTGTATCTCAAGTGGAGAGTGATTCATGCCTTGGCTCCACAGCAGCCAGTGGTTTTCAGGAGGAGGGAATGGGGGAGAAGTCAGTCAACATGGGACATCTGGGCCTTGCACTAATGTGTCTTTCCTGGTCTTCTCATTGCGTTGGTGAGTGGGATGTGAGACACTTGCTGCCGCCGCGTCCCATTTTCTGGCTGACATTCTGGCTTATTTATTGTCACTTTGATTTTAGACATAATTAGTAATTAGATTCAGATATGTCTTTTGGTTAATCACCATGCTATAAAAGTAAAAGCAGATTGGAGGCTGGAGCTAGAAAGTGCGTTTGGACCCTTGACTCGGATTAACTCCCTAACATATTCTTTTTCAGGTAGCATTCATCTGGGTGTTCCATGTGTTTGGTTGTTCTGTGTAAAGATTTAAAAGTAGGACTAATGATCGTGAAATGAGACAGAGAATTTAACTAAAGGAAAACTATTAATTTGAATAAACATAGACTCACAATTTTAGGGTTTAGAGATGGTCTTACCCAACATAGCATTGTATTTAAGAGCCCAGGCTCTTTCTGGTTTACTTCTTCAACTGTAAAATGGGGATAATAATAGTAACTAACTCACAGGGTTGTTGTAAGGGTTACATGAATTAATATATGTGAAGACTTAGTACAGTGCCTAGCACATAGTAAGTGCTCAATAAAACATGAGCTATGGTTATTTTTGGGGCCACAACTTGTGTGACAATTTGATATATGCCATACACTTCTCCAGAAAAATTTGCATGTGCAAACAGGTAAATTTTTTTAGAAGTTCTGGGTGGGGGGTGGTGAGTTATGAACCCCTAAAGCACATGCCTGAAGCCTGCAAGGCATCCTGGAACTAGGTGAATAGCCCCTGACTAGTTCAACCCCTCATTTTATGACTGAGGAAACTAGAGCCTAGAGAAGATAAGTGACTTGGCCAAGTTGCAGTGGCAAGTAAGGTAGTGGAGTAGAACCCAGCATGCTAACTCTGGTACACTTTCCTCTGTAGTACACACATATTCCGTGCACTCTCTATGAAGATAGGATTTTTAAACAAAAATTTTAATAGTATTTGCTGGCACATTCAGTGAATCATTAGTGAACAAAGTATCTCTTTTCGATGAAGAAGGAATAGGTATGACAGACATTGGGAGAAATTTCTGATTTCCTCAGCGTTGTGTAGTTGACTTGAGGGGAAGGGGGAGGAAGAGTTTATTCAGGGCTGCAAGTTCAGGGCTCTGGGAGAAGGTGCTGGGACATGGATCTGGTTGGTGGAAAGGTCAAACTCCTGGGGCCTTTGTATTTGTTTAACTTGGAAAAACCGCTTAATCATGTGTGACATTTGTGTCTCTGTATGGTCTCTGCTACACATACAGGGGTTGGCCTGCCTGGAGGGGAATTGTGGCTTCTATGGCTTGCCAAACCTGATGGAGAATGAGAGAGAAGGTGTACTGAGTTACTATGTTAAATAAATATTTGTAGGTATTTAATAATTACTTGTTGCCGATGATGACAGTGCCACTTGACCTGGAGGAGAGTGTCCTACAGCAGGAAGGATATCCCAGTGACTCTCATATTGTTTAATTTTGTTCATGAAGTTTCAGATATTGAAGTGTCTTGTCGGAGTGCATCCTTATTAGTAGAGTATTTTGCTAAACAAGATTTGAGGGAGGTGGTATTCAAGATATTTTTGTTAAGTGCCTACTCTAGACCAGGCTCTGATCTGGGCGCTGGGGATTCAGCAGGGAAGAAATGTAAGCGTCTTTTAAGGGCTGTTAACCTATGGTTTAGATGACTGCTGCGTAATGCAAATAGCTTCAGTGCACGGTATTCATTTAAGTGGACCCAGGAAGAAACCTTTGCTTAGAAACAAAATAATCATTTAAAAAATAACCCAAATTGATTTTTCACTGAATTAGATTATTTTTGTTTTAGATTACCTTAGCTAATGACCTTTTGTTAGACGTGTAAGAAGAAATATGATTGATTGTAAAGTAAGTCATGGGACTATGGCTCATGGAAAAAGCATGGTCACTGGAGCCAGACAAGCCAGATTCACCTTCTAGTTCTGCTGCTTAATGAACAGGGCAGCCTTTCTGAGCCTTAGCTTTCTTGTTTGTAACAGATGAGAATAAGAAAGAATACTATATACCGAGCAGATTTTTTTGAGGATTGGGGATAAAGTATTTATTATAGTGCCTGGCATGTAAGTAGGGTTTAATAAAGGGTAGCTGTTATAACATGGCTAGGGAAGTTAGGGACACTGTCATGGTATAGATGAGAGCAACCCGACTGGCTCTTTCAGAAACCAATCAGGAGTCTTAATTATTTGCTCTAAATTGTTACAGGAAATGTGACCCTGAGTGACAGAGACATGGCAGATAGACCTGATAGATATTCAAAAAAACATAAGTATTAGATGAAATTCAGAGGCATAGAAGATTTCAGAGTCTTTTTGGAGATTAAAAGCCTGACTGTGATCTGGGCCCCTAGTTCCTCCATTCATTATTACTCATTATCCTGCAGAGATCATCGGGTCCAGCTCCCGGTGGACACTGGGGAGCTGCAGGCTCGGAGAGGCTGACTACTTGCCCAAGGTCTGTTAGGGAAGGTTTGTAGGAATAGTCTCAACTTCCAGGTCCTGCCCCTTTATACTAGATTTTACTTATTATCATCTTCATTTCCCAAATAATTATTTTGTTCATTTTCTAGAAATAGTCAAATCATGTATGTCTTTGTTTCCCTTCCTCATTTTCTTGTGTTGCTTCAGAATAAAGCTCTTTTATTTATTTAGCAAATATTTAATAATAATAGCCAACTATGCAAATAAGCACTTTACAAGTCTTATGATGATTTAATCCTTGGACTAACCTTATTTGGTAGATGTTAGGCTCATTTTATAGATGAAGAAATGAGGCACAGAGAGGTTAAATAACTTGCCCCAAATCATAACTAGTAATGATGGAACTGAGATTCAAACACAGGCACTTCGATTCCAGAGCCGTGCTTTTTAACCACTCTGCTGCCATAATGCTTCTCATCTCTCAAGTGTTTCAAACTGAACATACTCTTGTCACCAGCACCCACATGAAGGAACAGAATATTACCAGCACCCAAGAAGCCCCCTCGTGTCTGTTTCTATCATTACCTCCACCAAAGGGTAACCACTGTCCTGATTTCTAACAGCATAGATTAGTTTGGTCTGTTTTTGTACTTTGTATAAATGGAATCATACAGTGTGTATGCTTTTATGTCTGGCTTCTTTAGCTCAACGTTATTTTTGTGAGATTAATCCCTATTGTTGTATCAAGTGGCAGATTCTCCATTTTCATTGCTGTATTGTATTCTGTTATGTGAATATACCTCAATTTATTTATACATTTTACTGCTGATGGACATTTGGGTAGTTTCCCAGTTTGGAGCTACGATGAATAGTACTACTAGAAACATTCTAATACATGTGCTTTGGTGGACAAATGTACACATATCTGTTGGAGATATACATAAGAGTGGGATTTCTGGGTTGTAGGATATGCATATGTTAAATTTTAGTAGATATTGCCAAACAGTTTTCCAAAGTGGCTATACCACTTTGCACTTCCACCAGAAGTATATGAGAGTTCTGGTTGTTCTACATCCTTGCCAACAGTTGGTATTTTTCATCTTTTTCATTTTAGCCATTCTGGTGAATGTGTTTTGAAAATTTTTTTTATTTCATCTGTGGTAAACCAGATGGCCACTTTATTTTTGCCTCTGTTTAATTTTTAAATTCTGATCTATTTGTAAATTTTAGTCACAAGCAAATGTCAAAACCTTGAAAACATAAGATCTTTTTGGAGAAATGTTCAAATTAGGCAGGTTCAGTGAAAATAATTAGGATAATTTAT